TAAAAAACACAATCTCAACAAAAAGATGAAGCCACGAAACAACATTAGCAAAAAATTATTAAAGAGAAAGAAATACATAAACAAGATTCCAAAGAGCAGAATATAGAAAACCAAGCAAAAAGTGAAGCAAAATCAAGGCCAAAAACTGAATCAACAACTTCAACAGAATGGCTAATCAAAGCAATATACCAAATATGCATCAAAGATCCACAAACTAATAACAAAAAGTGAAAGAAGAAAGAGAATGACCTATTTGTAAAATAGATGCAGTGTCTAAAGTTTCAAAGAATTATCGATACAAGGGTGATTCAAGACACATCAATATATAAATCAAAAGGAGACAAGAATTTGAAAAGGAAGAAAAAGAAAAAGAATACGTTATTAGGTTTATTAGAAAAAATTTTTGTAGAAGTTTTCAAAAATAGAAAGATTTTTATCGAGATACAAGAGAAGTTTCTGGGAAGAAAACCAAGACTCAAGAGAAAGAAAGGAAAGAAAAAGGCAAAGAAAGGAAAAAAAAGATCCCTATACCCAGAATATGGAAAGAAGAAAATTTAAGCAGACTATCCAAGATTCAGAAATAGAAAGACCAAAGAAGGGCCTGATGTATTTTGAAGAAAAGAAGGCTTACAGAAAAATATTCCCAGAGAAGACCTGTGAAGCAAGCTCTTGAGAAGTAGAAAAGAAATATGAAGATATGAAACAAAAAGAAAGCATTAAAGAAAAGGATACAAGAAGACTTTGGAGAGCTAGGTCTTTAATCAGAAAAGACAGGATAAATTGGAAGAAGAAAAAAAGGAAACACAAATATAAATAAAAGAATTTTGACAATAACTCTTTAGTAAGAGATGTAATAGAATTGTTTATTATTAGAAAATTAGGTTTAGAAAATGTTTGTAATAAGGAGGATAGTTTAGAAAGAGAAAATTGCCAATTAGATGTAGTTAAAAATTTTTTCGATTTAAAACCATCTTGCTATGGTTTTACTGGCTAGCTTGGTGCAGCTCTCTAGTACGGGCAATAGCCTTAACCAGTAAGGCAGACCGCACTTGGGCACTTTAAGGAAAGCTGAGTGATATCGGATCTGTAACTTAGATAGTATATAATGTATTATATTAGCTTTGATCTAATAAAAATACCAGCGAGGTTGCCGATAAGGAAAAAAAAATAAAAATAAAAAATAAATATTTTAAAATTATAATAATTAATAAAATTTATATTTTTTTTATATATTTTATATTTTTATTAGAATATTGTAATTTGTTACTATAGTTAATTCTTTTTAAATACAATTTATGTAGATATTATATAAATTATAAAAAATCTTATATTTAGAAAGATATTGTATTTGAGAAGTAAAAATCTATAAATATATAGTATAGATTTTTATTATTTGATACAAATATATTGTAATATACCTATAAGATTTAGTATAATATAAAATCAAAACAAACTAATAATGTATTAATTTAAAATAAGGGTTAGCACTAATATAGAATTAGATTAGATTGTAGATAAATATTAATTATATCTAAAATTTTGCAAAGCATTTTTTTTGTTAAAATATAAAAGATAGTTTCATAAACAAAATTATAAATTACAAATAATTTTTTTTAAAATATCACTATTTTTTTAATTTTATATTATATCTGATTTTATGATCTGATTGATTAATTAGGTAGATATATTACAATGCATATATACTAATTATATAAATTATATAAATCTATAGTATATATAATAAAAACACAACAATGCTATATATTTATAGAGATTTTTATAGAATATATATTTAGAGAGGTTGTATTTATAGAGAACTGACTGTATAATAATATATCACTATCTTTAATCCACTAATTTAACTAATTAGAATACAAAATTAAATATATTATAAAATTTAAACAAAATATTAATTTTCCAATAAATTATTAGGTTTTAAAAAAATATATACCTGCACTGCAGTGCATCTTATATACGTGACTATATAATAATATATATATATTAATTATAATTGAATACTAACTCTAATACTAATATTAAATATAAAATTAATTAATCAAATTCTTTATATATATATTACAAGTCAAATTAGTTTTTAGATCAAGTTAAATTTGACCTAAATCAAATTAATTAACTAAAAAGCCCTAGCTAGTATCAACATAATTCAGGCTCATCCTAACTCTAAAATTTTGCTAGAGATCAATTTGACCACAGGCAAGTTTGACTTGATCTAAAAACAATTTGACCCATAACATATATAATCAAATAAGAATAATGATAACTAAGTAATTAAAAAACTATATAATGAATAGTTAAAAGTTGTATTTATATATTATATAAGAACTCTATTTGAGATTTTTATTTAGTAGTATTAGTACTTAAATATACATAATAATAGCAAATTAATATGTAGTGATAGTATACTTTGCGCAAATTATATTTCAATATTTACATGTATCTAACTACTTATATTTTTTTTGAACATGTAGTAATATTATGGCCAAATTTCTTACAATAGCTATATTGATTTAAATGCTTTCATTTAATTGCTATTTCATATGTTGGTAGTTGATTATACTTTTGCTTAATATGATTTGTTGTTTCACATAGTAGTTGATTATACTTTTATTTATTTGTTTCATGTGTTGGTAGTTGATTACACTTATTATTATTGTGACGGCTTGATAATTTTGGTTTTCTCTTTGTAGCAACTTTTAATAGATTTTTGAACGAAGTACTTAAAAGCATATTCTCCTTATTAGAGCCATCTAAATCTGTTATAATAGTGCCAGGGCATAGGATTGATTTTCTGATTATGTGATTTTCTGAGCCAAAATTTGCCAATAAGAGGTCACGATCAGATGTAATATAAAAAAATCAAAACAAAGACTTTTTTTGAAGAAATCGAGAATATCTCAGAATTTAAACTAATTAACCACCTTCTGTGCTCTAAATAAAAAATTTTCTTGTATGATTTTACTATTAAAACAGTTTTTGTAACTTTAAAATAAACTTTCATCAAACCAAAACCTTAATGTAAACAAAAATTCTAAGTTTTTTGATATTATCACATAATCAGAAAATCGATCCTAAGTCCGGTCAATTTTATCTATTATATCTTTTTGATTTGCTTGTTGACTTGAACCAATTCCTCCTCTTTTTTATGTATATTAGCTATATAGTTTTCGATAATATTAACAAATTCTGTATCATTATATAGCAAATATTTATCTATTGCATTGCGTACTAAACTCTACACTTTTCTATATAGCAACTGCTTTTCTATAAAACTATCATCATTACTATCTTGTATATTTGTATCATTAAAAGATTGAAACTATTTAAAATATTGATTTGGTTCACTTATATTCATCATGTTCTCTGTACTATCTATAAACCATTGTCTAAAGTAATCACCTTTAATTGCTATATCTTCATGAAGTTCCTGAAGAATCTATCGAATATTAATAAGTTGTATATTAAATCTAGCCACCTTAGTAATATTTAAAAGATAGAAATAATGTCAGCAAACAAGCTCTTTCTTTTGTTATATCAAGCAAGTACAAATATATAACTCATTAATAAAACAAAAGCTATGTGATTTATATTACTGTTTGTGATTCTAGAAATATTTCAGACTTCATTAATATTAGCACGATTCAAATATTGTAAAAGAATGTATGTATGCATATATATACTATTATATTTATCTTCAAAATTGTTACTTTCAGATGATTCATTTTCTAGCATATTCTCAACTTTATTAATATTTGAATGATAAGCTAAATAAAAAACATTTTCTTTCATTTGATCAATCAAAAATGATATGATATTTGAATGCAGATAGCATTTGACAAGTACTTCGATTTTAGAAATATCATTATAATATTTACTGTTAATCTAATCAGATCTTTACACTATTGTCATCTCACTCTATCTTTAGAAATATCTATAAGAACCTCATCAAGTTCATATAAAGAAGTATTATTACTTTCAATAATACATTTTATGTATATGTTTTGGCTTTTTACAAATGAAGTTGTTTTAATTTCAAGTGTGAATAAGGTTGTTGTAAATCTATGTACTCAGAATCTACATTGTTTATAAAGTTGCCTTTAAAGGTATTGGCTTGCAGCTAGATAGTTTGTAATTAATTCAGTCCAGTAATGCTCAAAAAGATTGGAAGTATCACTATTATAGCATTTCTAAAATGCAAAGTAAAATTTATTAAATTGTAAACCTAACTTTCTACAAAGTATTTTTTTTATATTTTCTTTCAGATGCTAAATACAAAAAAGATATTGAGCTATCAGATATTTAGCTATAATCATGCATTCCATTGCAGGGTCTCCATTAGTAATGATTATACTGAGTATTTGTCCTTGCATAGCTTTTTTGGTTATTTGTAAAATCTACTGGTATGATTCAGTAGTTTAATTACTAATGAGTGCCTGTGCAGCTATTCAAGATTTCATGTTACTATCAAGAACTACAAAGAGTAATAGTAGCATATGATAACGATTCATTTATACTATATTATCATAATCAATAGCTTCTCCAACTCATACTATAACAAAATTTGATCTGGGCTTATCCAAAAGAGACCAGTAAATATATTTGTTTCTATTTCTCAAGCCACTTCTACGAACTATCAAGAATTTTAACGCTGTTTGTTTAATAATTTTTATAAAAGCGTACTGTATCACTCTCATTAAATTGTATTGATAGTTTATGCTTCTGAATTTTAACATACAGGTCCTTTTGTAAAACTGGATGAAAAGAATACTTTTGCTTGAGGATCTGTCAAATCAAAGTTGTCTCAAAACAACACTTATTTACATAAAAATTGATATTCTTACTCATTTCTTTTGTGAATGCTTTTTGCTTTTCGAATATAATGCTTTAGGGCATATTTCGTAATTATATTTATTTTCCAATGTTATCATATAAACTCAAAAGCTTGGGTTTTTTTTAATTGGTCTTGAAAAGTTGATATGCTATTAACAGCCCTGCCTAACTATATTTCCAAGTTTTGCTTTATTTGCTAGATAATATTGACCAGAATGATGACAACAGATGGTCCTTTTATATTGAACTTTCTCTTCTTTAGTATTATCTATTGCAGAATTTTGATCTATTCTTATTTTGAAACCTTTGAATTCAGCATAGAGTCTTACATGTTATTCAGCTTGGTCGAAATTATCAAAACTGTTTTCTACTTTTAATATTATTGTTTCTATATTTATATATAGATCTTTTATATCTATACTACCACGATAAATCTCTTCGAAGAAACTTTCTAAGTTAATTTCTGTTTCATTTGCTATTTCTTCAGTTTCATTAAGTAAGTTGTGATTATTTTTTTTATATTTATCACTCATTTATTTTAGATTTGGCTAGTTGAATAAAAGATATAAACTATTTGTAGCAATGATATAAGTAAATTGGATCAAAAGTTATATATAACAACTGCGATATAGGTTATTTTTGACAAAATAATGCGATAACGCAATAATGTGTTTATTACAATGATGACAAAAAGTGTGTTTATTATAACACAATAGTGTTATCTATGACAAAGACAATACGATAATATATAACAATAACGATATGAAAGTAGTAAAAAATTAGTAGTAAATAGTGTAAATAAAAGCAAAATGATTGAGTATAAGAAAGAAAGCTATTAAGTATAACAATTTAATGATATAAATAAAGCGATTAGTCATTTAATCAGTGACAGGATATAAATAACAAATTAATACAGTATATATGGGATAGTGTTATATATTTTCATTGTCTTAAGCTTTTTTGCTACGTCCCAACATCCCAACATCCCATTATCCCAGAGTGTCCCAACTATATCCCAAACCTTAATAATTAATAAATTAATTTTATTATATATTTTTTTAAGTGTTGAACATGTTTTTAAAGAAATTAAAATAAATTATCATAATAAAATTTTGAGTAATTTTAATTTATAAAATTGTCCCAAAATATCTCCAAATATCCCAACTCATGTCCTAACTGTTTTATATACAACACTGTATGGGGTGCACTGCGGTGCCTAGTGTACTAAATTATAAATCTCTAAATTATTTATAATTTAAAATTTTGTTTATAAAACTATCTCTTATATTTTAATTAAAAATTTTATACAAAATTTTAGATTAAAAATCTCTTTTTTTAAATTTATATTTAACTTTAATTAAATACTATTCCTAATTTTAAACTAATATATTGTTATTATTATTTGTTTTTTATATTATATATAATCTTATAAGTAATAATACATTATATAGATAAAAAATAAAACTTTTTTAAAATTTTAACTTTAAATTTTGTTAAAACAATTTTTATTTTTTTTATATTCCCTATATTATACTCTCTAATTTTACTAATACTTCTATTTAACCATATATTATAAAAAAAAATTTAAACCCTAAGAATAGAGATTATATAATTTAGAAAAACCAATATTTTAGTTATATAACTATAAAAATTACTATTTTTGGAATTTAAGCATATACCTTATTTTAATAGATGTTATATATATAAGGCTGCACAAATTTAATATCTTGGTTTTCATAACACGAAACTTTTAAACAGATTTGGCCGGCCGGCTTTTTTTTTTAAATTTTATATATAAAAATTTTATAAATTTTTTTAAAAATTTTTTTAAAAATTTTTTTAAAAAGCCTACCCGGTTATTAAAACATATGAAAATTTTTTTTTACAAGATTTCAAATTTTGATCTGGCCAGGTTATGAAAACCAATTAATTAATTTTGCATGGCCTAATCTATCATATACAGGTTTTTTTGTGATAATGTTAACCAAAAATTGTTATAATACTGCACACTTATATTAAAGATCAACCAAATATTTATATAAAAAATTAAAGTTTTATACATATAGATATTTTATATAATTATAAAGTATTTTTTAATATCCTGAAAACTAACAAACCAATTTTACCAATCTTACTATTATTAGATAGCTCTTAAATATACTCTACAACTTTACTTAAAACCCCAAAAGTAGTTTACTTAATAAAAAAAAAAATTTAGATATAGCATCTTTTAAATTTTGCAAACCCTTCTCTAGGTGAGAGGTGAATTATCTATTAATAAAATTTGTTGTAATTAAAAATTGGGTTTTATAATTTATCGTAACACCACCCCGGGTTTATGTCAAATCAAAATCCCAAAATCAAAATCACGAAATTTTAATTGTCAAACTCTGCATATGATAGAATCTATAGGTAATCTATATTATTAATCATAAGTGGAGTTTGAATATTGAAACCTCAGCATCACATGGCACGACAAATATGTCTCAGTGGTAACGATACATCGTTATGGCAATAAAATAAAAAATAGCTTATTTTAGACATATACAATATATTTTAAAAATTAGAAAATTACTTCAAATCACCACCGGTGATCATCACGGTGATCTACAATATATAATTAAACATAACATATAAAGTTTTTAACTTTAATATTAGGGTAAGGGTAAGAGTTTTGTAATAGAGCTAAACAAAGATAGTTATAGCAAAATTTTGCAAGGAATTTTTTTTGTTAGAGCCCGAAAGGTGGTTTCATAAACAAATTTTTGAGATATGATTGATTTTTTAAAAAATTCATTGTTTTTGTTACACAAAACTGATCTACATGTTACACCTGATCCTGCAAATTAATTGGCTGATTATATACCGGTGATGATCACCGGCGGTAATTCCTAAAAATTATATTTAAATTGAATTTTTTTTTACGATTTAACTTTTAAATAATTAAAAAATAAAGATCTTTAATTTTATTATATTTTGTTTATTAAAAGTGATATTTTTAAATATCATCGTTATCACTACTATCGTCTTTGATCATCAATTCCCTTTGAAATCGTTCAGCAAATTCTACGACAGTTTGACCTTGCGAAAAGTCAAAAACTTCTCGCGGAAGTCTGTTAGTCGCAAATGGCTGACTACGTGATTGATTTGCTTGCGATTGTGAAGTTATTATACGAAATATTTGTGGACCTGTGGCTAAATGCAAAATTTTTAATAAATTGCTAAATCGGCTATTATTCTATCATATCGTGTTAAATTTGTATTAGTTATTTAAAATATACCTGTCAGTAAATCCTCCCATGTAAATAAAAGACTATCGGTCATTGGTCCGAATGGGTTGAAATCAATTAACCAAACACGTTCTCTGTTACGTGTCACATATACATCAAAAACATCTAGTTATTAAGTGATTTATTAATGCTTAATAGATCAAAAAAATATATATAAAAAAAAACAGAATGTTAATTTCCTTGTATGCTTACAATCTCTGTTAAAAAACTTATTTCGGATATTCGTATTGAAAAATTGTATAATTTTCGTTTCTAAATCTTCTTGGACATCAACTAAAAAAGGATAATAATTGATATCACGCTGTGATATAGCTTTATACGATTAACAAATTTAATTAACAATTAATCAACGCTATAATCTATAATTAATCTAGGTATATAAGATATTATTTACCAACTAGTTCTTCATTTCTTACAAAACAACGAAATTCCATTGATGGTGCTACATCGTACCATTTTCTTAATACTAACTCGAATACATCGGGACGTTGTCTTCTTAAAGATTCTTCTTCGTAACTACAATCTTCAAATGCATGATCGAGATCATGAGCTACAAAGTCGGATGATTTAAGTAAAAGAAATATGTCCGACGGTGTGTTGCATTTAAGTGTGTTCGTAGCAGATATCCATACAGCATCCTTGAAAGTTTAATATTAATAAATAGGTGTTAAAAACAATTGATGATATATTTTGGAATTTTGAGATAGTTACTCTGGGTGAACTCCAATTGAGTTTTGGAAAAACGGCACCGTCAAATTCCTCGATCGTCTGCCAGATCTGTTGTTCTAAGTCAGGAAAACTTGGTAATTGTTGCTAGTTTTAGAAGGACAAAGAAGCACCAAGATTAAAAGAAGAATAATCCAGAAATATTTTGTAAAAGATAGCTTACGCCTTCGTCTTCAATCAAATCTGTTCCAATTCCGGTATATTCTTCGTCGTCATCGCTGAATTCTATTATATTCCTTTCAAGATAACTAGAATACAAAAACAACATTTATTATTGGTTTAAACGGTAGTTAAAAAAGAACCGAAATAAACTTACTTTTGTTCTGGAAGAAATATGCCGTCTGCATGTAAATACTCAATAAATTCTTCGGGTAAAGGTTTAATAATCTTGGATTTCAAGGTGACACGTCGAAAAGTATTATACCAAGAAGAGAATACACAATTTAAAATATGTTGTTCTGTAAGCGGGGGAAAAGGAAGCGTGTTGTTTGTATCAGAAACCGGGATTCCAGTTGCTACAGGCATTATTATAGGAAGCGTTAGAAAGACTTAATATTTCTACAAGAAAATGATATCGATTTCGATACAGTCAACCCTCGGATCTTGTGCCAGGTTTTGTCGATCATGTGGCGCAGATCTCATGATCCACAAATCAGATTTCAAGGATCAGGTGTAACATAACACAAACGTTCGTTTTGTTAAAAATCGCTTATAAGTTTTCCTTGAGCAATTTTACTACGTATAACCACCTAATCTCTAACGTTCTAAACACTAACCTTAACATCAATGAACTTTAAAAAATTTTGCTGCGCCACATGATCGACAAAACCTGGCAGATTTTTTGTTTGCCAATCGTTGTTAATATCAACCTCGTTAATGCATGTCGGAAATGTGTGCCAGGTTTGTGGCACAACTGTGACGCATATTGACTTAACTATGAATCAGATTTCAAGATCAGGTGTAATGTAACACGATCAAAAAAATTCAAAACAAATGTTCGTTTAGTCAAAAATCGTTTATTTGTCGAAAATCTGCATAAGAAACCAGCTTTAGTGTTCTAACAAAAAGTTTTCTTGAGCAATTTTACTATAAAATCATCAACCTTTAATCTAATTATAAATATTAATAAACTTTAAAGGCTTTTTGCTACGCCACAAATCTAGTACATATTTCTGATATGCTTTAACAACTTGAAAGATTATGCTAATTGCAGCTCCATTATCAACAATAGTATAGTAGAGTCTGTTTTTAAATTTAATATTATATTTAATAGAAGTGGTGTTTGTTTTGAATT